TCCGAGCACGTTTTTAAAGGCGGATTTCGTCGAGAGTTTAATAACAATGAATAGCGAGAATCGAATCCCCAAAATGCGACGTTGAAATGGCCTGTGTAATTAGTTTAATTTCCTTCCAAAGCGGTTTCCGAAATTGCTACGCTGGTCAGCAGAATCGGTCTACGGGAAGTCAAAACTGTATCGCAAATCAAAGCATAACAATCACAATACGTTAGTAATTTGGTCATCGTATTGTTGCTCTACAATTGCTATTCAATTGTCGCCCTTTCCTCCCATCGTCGATCAGCTGGCAACTTTTATATTCATTTCAGTCTTAGTCCCCTTATACCCACATAATTCCATACAAGCGTTCAAGTTGATCATTTCACCACACCAGTTCGGTCCCTGTGTTTCAGAATGCTCGCAGTGCAGCATTGTATTTCACTGACTTGAAAGCTTTTTTTAAATCGACGAATGGAAACATAAAAGAATTTTTTTTATTCTGTGTGTTTCTTCCAACTGGTTACTGTAAAATTGTGGTCGATAGTGGCAAGCTGCTTGTTCTCTTCTTGCATTTTCGCAGAGAAATGATTCGAGCCTAAGTTAACCCTTCAATATCCGCGCTTTTCGAGACTTCTCCGTTGTGTCGTTATCTTGCATACTTCGAGGTACCAAATAAACTGAGTGCTTTTCCAGTCTTTTCGCTTTTGCTCGGATTTCTTTCTCACAGGCTTTATCTCGTCCTGTTCCTTTTTTAAATACTCTATTTCCTACCTTACTGGAAGTTACAGCTGTTCCTTCAAGGCCTTTTCATGATTTAGTCTGCAGAATTTTATCCAGGAATTTAAATTAAGATGAGGAGCCGGACTTCATAAAATTTTTCTACCACAGTTGTTTTCTAGCTGTGTTTCCCGTCGTAGTTAACTGTTTTCGTGTTTGTATTTTACAGCTTAAGATCAAAAAGGGGCACTGTCATTGCGTTTAGCGATGACACAAATCCGACGCTTAGACTACAGAAGGCTGGAAATTCGGCAGCGTGCTTCGTGACGTTCGAAATAAGTCAAGTTACATGACATCTGGTCCAGATACATTGATTTCATGTTTTACCGGACAGTTGCATTGCGAACGCACGGCAAGATCTGGGAGCGAGGATCCCAGAAAACTCGAGATGGATGTGTAGCACTGAGGGCACCCAGCTGAAGTGTGAAACGTCTTTATGAATTGTGAAACAACTTCACTTATGCAGCTTTATCGGATTTTAGTGAAGGCTGACGTTATTGTATGTGCTTTGGCAGAAGAGCATTTTGCATGGCCTGCGAAATAGTTTCTGGCTTCATTTACTTTGTTGGTTGTTCCGTATCGGGTTTCTCAAGTTTTGTAATGCTATATCGATTCCATATGTGCGTGGCTGAAAGAGATCCTGAATTGTTTGCCTCAAATAGTCCAACCATCTGTGGTCATTCGCTGCATCTCTGCAGGCAGGAACTATGTGTGTGTGTGTGCGTTGTGGATTTGTGAGTGGGTCTGAGAGAGGAGGCGTGGCTGGATTACAGTATCGAATTGAGGATCAGGAATGAGTGAGGCAAGGCCAGGCGAGGGAAAATTGCTAATGTGAGCAAGTGCTTAAGAATCAATTAAAGAAGGAAGGAAATGAGTGTCATCTGGACACATACTGGCTATTAAGCTGTGTATTAGGCAATGCCCTCAGAGAAGCTCATGTTTTTTGGTTGTTGTTACACTCATTGTTAAGCAAAAGTGGAAGGGGTGCAAGCACTGCTACATTTCTCGGGAAGAGCTATTATATGCACATTACTTCTGACCGCAACATTAATGAGTAAAAATCAAAGACTGACTTTGTGTAAAGTTTTAGTTTTCTTTCAACCTATGCTTAAAACATGCTTGCTACTCGCACCACCACCAATTGCCGTGTGGAATGCATGCATTGGATCTGCTTTCGTTGCCAAAGCACCGAAAAGTGGCGTAAGCCCCACTCAATTAATTTGACTTTTGGCAGTTTCTTGCCACTAAACCATTCCCTTTTAGACTTTCAGGAAAGTTCAGTTCAGTAAGTGGGACAAGTGGTCTCTCTCTCTCCCATCCGATCCATTCATTCGTTTTGATGGTAAATTGGTACTGCCGCGTGTTACGACTGGGGCTGCCTGCGAATGTCTCCATTTCTTACAAAAAGTGATTGCGAAGCAGGAAGGGGAGGCGGGCTGACTTTTAACTTGTACTGATTGATTCGGATGGTGGAGAGAGGGCAGGCCGTGTTGTGTTACGGAAATAGTTGAGAACTGTCGGATTTCTAGAACAGTTAGGAGACAAGGTTGCCTCGTGTCTTGTGTCGAGTTGGCCGATTAATTTTAATGAATTGGTGCCAGAGCGCATACAAAAAATGCATGATTTACTTAGCAAAGTCAGATGATAGCAAAGGATTCAGTCAGCTCACGAAATTTCAACTAAATTTTCAAAGAATAATACTTAGTACAGCTTTCTTCTTTCCAAATGTGGTAAGCGAGATTACGGCGCATCAGTTCTTGGCTGTTTTTGCTTGTTATCATAAATTAAGGCTGTGTATTCCCTGGAATTGAGTACGGTAGAATCGCGAAAGATGCGTCGCGCATACACCACGTTAAAGAGACTAGTGGTCAAACGCCTGGAAGAAGGTCCTGATACAGTCGTCCTCAGCATCTGTTGCTGTTCACTCGCGCCTGGCCACGCTAACACAGCGAACGATTTTGAAGCTTGATTTCCCCTCAGTTCTACCGACAGTTCCTCACCTCCGTAGTTGCTTTGATTAGTGCTGCATTAAGCAAAAACTTTTTGGAACTACTGTCTTGGCGGTGATGAGGGGTCTGGAAAACCAAGAAAATATTTGTCACTTCTTGGAACACATCATAAATCTTTTGGACTATGATGCATTTTTTTGCATCTTTATAGTGCCAAAACGCATAATGGAAAGTATGTGTGTGTAGGGTCTACGTATTTCGATTTCCAGATCTACAAAACG